TCTCTCTCTCTCTCTCTCTCTCTCTCTCTCTCTCTCTGGTGTGCGTGGGTCAAAGGAGGGTCCTCACTCCTACGTCCCTCCTCCCTCCTACGTCCATCTTCCCTCCTCCGTGCCACCTCCCTCCTTCGCCCCTCCTCCCTCCTTCGTCCCCCCTCTGCACGAAGCACAGTTCGTTTCCCCCCCCCTCCTACCGTCCCTCCACCCTCCTTCGGCCCTCCTCCCTCCTTTGCCCCTATTCCGCACAAATTAAGTTTCGTTTTTGTTTTTCCCTCCTTGGTCTATCCTCCCTCCTTCCACCCTCTGTGCGTGCACACACTCGTGCGCTCATTTCACAGGCCGGGCGCGCATTTCGTGCACGCATTTCGTAGGTCGCGCGTTCAAGAACGGAGGAGGAGGGAGCAGCGAGAGGAAGTTTGGAGGACGGAAGTCTGCGGAGTGAGGGGAAGGTGTGGAAAATGGAGTCGGTGACCTGTCTCTTATACACATCTAGATGTGTATAAGAGACAGCACACACACACACGCACACATACACACACAAACCCCTATTGTAAGCATGCCTCCTCCTGCCATTCTTCCTGGGGCCACCGGCCTACGTGTGTGTTCCGCCTGCTGGAGTGATGCACACCTCATGCTTTTCTGTGGAGTTCTGTATTGCAAACATGGCAACACACACACACACACACTGAGTCCCTTGCTCTGCCGCAGGCGTAGCCTGCGGCGGGTCCACTTGGTTTTATAGAAAGGGTACCCAACGTGTACCTCTTGACAAAAGGACTGTTCTGTGACCCTTCTGGGGCAGGAGACATGACTTTTGACCCCTGAATCTGAACTTAGACCAGAAAGTTACGACCCTAGACTGTCTGTGCAGATTTTGACTGGGTTCTTTCCATACTTGGAAACAGGCAAAAAAAGAGGAGGGGGGGAGGGGAGGACATACAGATATCGAAGGCTCACCTGGAGTCTTCCTCACTTTCAAGCTGCCACGCCTGTATTAATGCTTTGACTTGTGCCACTTCTTCATTGACCTGTTGAAATTATAATGCGGCGAAATGCGCAGTGAGAACCGAAGAATCCTCACCCGGCATGCTTTGTTAAGTTGGGACTAATCAGTGCCAGTTCCCTCCAGTGGGACCAATTAGTCCCAACTTCCCAAAGCTCACCAGGAAAAGATTCCTTGCCATAAAAAAAAAGACACAAGGAACTTCAAACTGTTCGGCACATTAGCACAGTTTCTGTACATATTTGTTTTCAACTGAGACGACAAAATCTGACAATATTTTGACATCTGCACAATGAAATACATACATGTTGCTGAAAATGCTCAATGCTGACAGCCCTTTTCTTAACTTAGTATTTGACGACAATGTGTCATAGGTTGGACGATGGATATCAAGGAATGTCTCACAGTTGCAGAGTCGCAATAAAGGAAGGACCTCCTCGCACCCACATCTCGTGAATGCACCTCACCGAATACTCTCAAGGTTTCTTTCACGAAGGATGCCATATTCAGCATGCCACACACAAGAACGACAAGGCAGAATTGACAGAGGAGCAAGAACATGTTGCAACCCGGGCAAAGCAGCTAAAGCACGAATTGAGCTCCTCATGAAGCCCGGTAAGCAATGCAAAACAGTGAAGTACATCCAAATGTGTCCGACACCCCGCGAGGCAGCCGCCTTCTGTGCCCCAGAGTAGGGTGATAGCATCTGTTTGTCTGTCTGTCGCTTGGTTGGTCGGTCTTCGGTCGGCCTTTGGTCGGTGGGTTTGCGGGTCGGTGAGTGGGTCGGTCGCTCACTCACTCGCTCCGTCAGTCAGTCGTTCAGCTGTTTCGGTCCGTTGTTTCAGTCAGTCAGTCCGTCAGTCGGTAGGTCGGTCTGTTGGTCTGTGGGTCGATGGGTCGGTGGGTCCATCGGTCAGTCGGTCGGTCGGTCGGTCGGTCGGTCGGTCGGTCTCTCTCTCTCTCTCTCTCTCTCTCTCTCTCTCTCTCTCTCTCTCTCTCTCTCTCNCTCTCTCTCTCTCTCTCTCTCTCTCTCTCTCTCTCTCTCTCTGTGGCATGAATGGCAACCCCCCAAAATATATCACGTCCAAGCTCAACACGTTCTGCCCCTTCTCCCCTGCAGGATGGCATGCAGCAAGTGCCAGCAACCATGCTTGCCACTCTCCCTCCTCACTTACCCCTTTCCCACCTCCCCTCTTTCATGCAAAATACTTTGGAACATCTGTTGGCACTCCCGATTCAAAACAACTTGCCCCCTCGACAGTCCCCCTCTCCACCCTTCTAAGTGCAAATCATCTTGCAAGTTACACTGATGCCTTCCAACTAGGGTGTTCAATGGAGCCATGGCCATGGTGCTGCGCTAAATTTTGAAAGAAAAAACAAGAAACAAGGGAAGGGGGGGGGGAGGGACAATGAGAAGAAAGTGAAAAAGATGGACCAAATGCCTCAACGACAAAAAGTTGGCATGCACAACCAGCACCAATCATTGGACTGTATCCCTACCCGCCGCGTGTCACTCTCTGCACTGCGCAACTGCCCATCAAGATCCCGTTTCTCCTCCTCCAGCGTTCTCACACGAGCCTGAAGCTTGCTCCTCTCTTCATCAGGCTGCAAAATCACAACAGTTCAGAGGCGAAGCGCAAAGATATCATGACATGAGCTCATTTCCGTTTACTGCAGATTATTTCCCCTTCAAAATGTCCTTCAAGTCGAAAACGCCTTAGTACCCATGGTGGGGTACCATCTAATCTTGGAAAGGGTGAGAAAAAACACAGCACACGATCAGAGATCGAGGTCCATTAAGAACATCTAATCTTGGAAAGGCTCAAGGAGTCAAGGGTCATAACTCCACACTCTTTTTCGCTGACCACAAGCCAGGAAATTTAGCTCTGAGCCTCTGAATGGTTTGCCTACTTTGGTTTATCACCTGAAAAAATATATCTGAAAAAGAAAAGAGTGAAACTTTATGAAAGCAAAATCCCGAGGGAAAAATAACAACCTTCAAAACCATGGATCCCAGCAACACCCAAGGCAGGCAGCCCAGAATCGACTGGCACGCCAAGGGTCCACAAATAATAAGCTGGAACGTCAACGGACTACAAAACATCCTAGTGGAAGAAGACAAACTCAGAGACATTCGCCGAGGACAGCTAGAGAAAGGTAGACCCAGACCGGATATCATTCTACTACAAGAAACCCCCCTGTCTGATCTCAACAACCACAACAGAAAAAAAAAGACAGTCGAGAAAAGTATAGGTGGCTGTCTTTACACTCTCTGGTCCAACAAGCAAGGCTTCAGCAAGAGAGGTACCGCTATATTCGTGCCACAGTCATCCAAGATCCGCACAGAAGGGAGGATCCTGGGCGGGAAAGGCGACACAGAGGAAGGCAGATGGTCATGGATCTCGGTAGTGTCGCAAGAAGAGGAACGGAAAATCCTGAACATCTACGCACCCAACAACAAATCAGAACGGCTCACGTTCTTCGACAACATAAAATCTCTCATACCCAATCCCCAACCGATAATCATCCCGGGGGACTGGAACACGACTCTAGAACCAAATTTGGACCGAGTATCTAGGGCACTACTCATGGGGCAAACACGAGTTGGAACTAGGATACGGAACCTGATGACCGAGTTCAAACTCATCGACCCCTACAGATCCCTCCACCCTACAACTAAAGCATTCTCGCAAGAAGAGGAACTGAAAATCCTGAACATCTACGCACCCAACAACAAATCAGAACGCCTCACGTTCTTCGACAACATAAAATCTCTCATACCCAATCCCCAACCAATAATCATCCCGGGGGACTGGAACACGACTCTAAACCCAAATTTGGACCGAGTATCTAGGGCACTACTCATGGGGCCAACACGAGCTGGAACTAGGATATGGAACCTGATGACCGAGTTCAAACTCATCGACCCCTACAGATCCCTCCACCCTACAACTAAAGCATTCTCCCTAATCATGAAGTACCAAGCTAACCGATCGTCCATGTCAAGGATCGACTTCTCCCTGATATCAGAGCACCTCCAAGGCGCAATAAAAAAAGCCGACATCCTACCATCAGCCACCTTCAAAGGGCTGGATCACAAACCCACACAACTCTTCCTCAATTTTAACTCACCAGTGGAGAAAGGGCCGGGGTTCTTCGGATTTCACAACTCCCTCCTGTTAACCGACCTACTGTCCAAAGCAATCAAATGGAACTGTTTTTTCCTCAGAAAACAGGAGACCAGGCATACCAAAAGACATCAATGGTTCAAAGATAGCTTTGCAGACCTAACTCAAACTGTATCAGCAGAATCACGATGCATAGCGGGAGAACGAAAATTCAGAAAAGAAGAACTCCAAACAGCCATCATGATTGCGGAAGACAACCTGGCTACCGACACCAACATATTCTATCAGAAACTGCTCTCCTCAACCAAAGAAGAACTAAACGAATGGAGGTGGGAACATAAAAGGACTTCAACTACGAGCCCAAATGACAGACTACGCACCCAATGAATCCATGACAAAATTCTTCTTCTCCAAGATAAAATCCAATGCAAGGAACAACATGACCGAGGGACGAAAAGACCCGGCCGACCAAGGTAGGGTCAAATATACCAGTGCCGAAATGGTGGGGATAGCGAGAGCGTTCTATGCAGGCCTCTGCGGATCCAAGACACTGACACCCCCAACTGCAGCCAATCTGTCAGCCCGCCAACACATGATGTCCTACCTGAACAAAACGATCTCATCGACCCAAGCTGAGGACATGGATAGGCCAATCACCCTGACCGAACTGCAAACAGCACTGGCCCAAATGGGTAACGACAAATCACCAGGTATCAACGGCCTATCGAAAGAATTCTGGCTGCAATTTTGGCCAATACTAGGAGCCGACCTGTTCGAGTTCTTTAACGACAGTAGGATAAAGAAAGGACTAGGCCAGGAGATGAGCACCAACGAAGTATCTTTGCTGCACAAGAAGGGCGACAAAGAGGATCTCAAAAACTACAGACCTATCTCACTCCTCACAACGCCGTACAAAATCCTCGCAAAAGCACTGGTCAATAGGATCATAAAACTGACCGACAAATGCTTCCACATCGACCAAGCAGGCTTCATCCCCGACAGATACATATTAGACAACGTGATGACACTAAACGAAGCAGCAAAGAAGATCACCGAAAAACGAATGAAGGCAACTATCCTATTCTTCGACTTCAAAAAGGTGTATGATCCAGTCAACTGGGATTTCCTCCACACATGTATGGGAAAAATGGGGGAAGGCCCAAGACTCAAAGAATGGGTCAGAGTCCTATACTCCGAAGCAACAGGCAGAGTCAGATTAACAAAATATTGTCAGACACATATCCAATATCAAAATCTGTACGACAAGGCTCCCCCCTGGCTCCCCCGATCTTCCTATTTATCATGGAAGCCATAGCATCCTTCCTTCGTAAGGACCCTTCTATAGACCGCCTCACAGAAAGGAACTTCAACCCTATGCACGACTTCGATGTTCGCAGACGATCTCACGGTTCTCATCCGAGCAAACAATAGCTCCTTCCAGGCCCTCATTAAAGCAATGGAAGCCTTCCGTTTATCATCCGAAATGGAGGTCAACCGGGGCAAAACTGAAGGTTGGTGGCTCTCAGACGACAATCCCCCCCAACCGGACAGCGTGACTACACCCATATCCTGGTCTACAGGTGATCAAGCACTCAGATCTCTTGGCATCATGGTAAACAAAGGAGTGTGGCCAGGGATGTGACAAAACTTAATAACAAGGGCAATCACTCGCCTGACGCCATGTAGAAATGCACAGGCCTCTCTAATTGGTAGAGATTCAATCATAAACACGGTTGTCTTCTCCACCCTACGGTACATGGCGTCAATATGGTTCCTCCCAGACGACGACCTCAAGACATTAAAGGCCAGGGCAAGATGCTACCTTTGGACTGGGGACCCCAACAGATCCACCTGTATCAACAAGCTAGCCTGGAGTTACATCATCAGAAAACCACAGGAGGGCGGCTTAGGCCTTATAGATCCCAAACAGGAGTCGATAGCCCTGCAAATGAAATGGATCATCAAGATCCTGATCAGACAACACTTACCATGGACCAGGATGACCTTGGATAGCATAAGGAATCTAGCACCGATAATCACCCTCCCCAACATCTCAGGGCTATTTTGGATAATGGCAAAGGTATGGACGATCAAAACAGGAAGACCACACAAAAGAACCCGGACCGAGCCACACACTCAGGCCTCTTCCACACCAACCCCCTACTGGACCCCCACCTGAAACCGCTAGTACACGGCCCCAGCCTTGCAGAAAGTTTTTGTTGCCACAAGCACAACTTCGAGGCGCCACGCGGTCAGGCCCACCGTTGAAAAAAAAATCTGCGGCCTCCGAAGTGGTGCGGGTTTCATGCTGACACCTGTGGGCCGATAGTGGTCTACTGGTGCTTTAAAAGTCTGGCGACACATGATGCCAAGCAAACACGGTGCACCAGCAAACAAAGAAGAGGCGTTGAGGCAACCTCTCTTTTGCAACCCCTGGATCAAGGATCCGGACAGCTTACCCCGGTCCCTATGGTCCAAGGATCGGAGATGGTTAACCTGGGTGGAGAAAGGGATGTGGCCAATAAAACCCATTTGGTCACAAGAGAAGAATGACTGGATCACAGAACAAGACCTGCACACCACACTAAAAGGATGCCACTCGCTGACGACCAACCTAACACAAATACAACGTAGCGTTCCTTCCCAATGGACCACCTTAGCAAAGGAAGATTTCTCGTGGAAACCAGGTGACTACGGAATTCCTATATCCCAACCTCCTCGCGCTAGAGCCTACCGCTTCATCTCCCGAATCACAACAACGGGGTACCGATCTAAACTCTTCACTTATCCCATTGCAAGACAACCCTCAGAAAATGGAAATGCTCAACAACGACCCTCAGTTCGAGATCCTAGACCCTTTTCTACTAAGAAAGGTGAGGGTCTCGAAATCCAAACCGTGGAGAGTATTCCAACCAGACCTCGGCATCACAGATCTCAAATTCGACCCAAAGGAATGGAAGATGGGCAAGTCTGGCAGAACAAGAACAATCTTTGAATACGACGTAAAGTTTGGATACGATATAGGCTTACAAACCACAGACCCAGACCCCATACTGAAGGAAAAGTGGAGAGGGATCCTGAACTTGCAACCGACTGAATTAATATCTATCCCGTGGGCCAAGTACTTGCCCATCAGACCAGTTAGAATTTGAAGCATGCAGTGGTTAATAACTTAATAGCACACACTGCTCTCCCTGTCAACCAGTGGCTCCACAAGAGGAGAAAGCACACAGATCCCGACAGCTCAGAACTATGTGTTCTGTGCAACGTAAACGCGACGGAAGACTTCCACACTGCCTCCTCTACTGCACTGAGGCGGCCTGGATCTGGAACAAAATCTTCTCGGCTCCACCACCCACCATTGTCCCCTCAAATGTCCTACTCCCATCTAACATCCCCGACAGTCTCAGGGGGGGCAAGGAGGTCTGGTTCTTCATTCTCAGAAAGCTGGCCCCATGGGTCATTTGGAAAAGGAGA